CATACATACACACAACATTATTCCAATCGTAAACACCCCCCTCTCTCCATGCATACATGCACCCAACGCATAAGGATGAGTTCGGGTCCCGTGGCAGAGGTGACTTCCTCGGTCGCTGGTGGATGCCTTGGATACAATCATGGATAACCCGTTGCTGCGTTGCCGGTACAATAACAATATACACATGTGTTGTAATGGAGTTTTGCCGGCTACAGGCTATTGAGCTTGACTGTAGCGTTGCTGCGTGTAATGACCGCACAAGCATACAATATTTATTTAATGTTTACAACGAAGATGTGCGATGCTCTGTGACTGGTGTGTGTGTGCGATGCTCCGTTCGCATGAACATTGAGCCTTCTACTGAGCCGCCGGAGGACATCTATTAATTTTGCCAAACACAAGTTTGGTTCAATAGACGACAAACACATGGGAACGAGTTATGAAGCAACTATCCACTACGTTCTTATATTTTACAGTTATTACTGACTCAGGATCCGAGTTTACATTGGGTTCGGCAGTCGTGCAGCAAAACAAACTCACCGACAGAGTGAAGTCGCTTGGATTGAGAGCTTCATCGTGGTTACATACGGTGCCGTCCTCGACAGACTCCAGTGCAGATAAGTACAGCAGGTAGCTGTTAGGTATGGGTACGCCAGCATTGGTCTTCTCCACTTCGGGGTACTCTAGACGTACGGTGGCCATGGGTAGTGAGCTGGGGCCAGGGTTCAGCAGCTGTCAAGCATACACATACGCACACGCCTACGTTATTTTCATACGTAATTCCGTCGAGCGAAACCTCCCTATTAACATGTCTTACAGTAATCCGCGATCAACGGCACTTACGGAAGTTAGATGACCTACAAAGGGTTCTGTTTCCTCAGTGTACGAATAGTGTTCACTTTATCACGGATTATAGTGGTTGCGACTTCAGCGATGATTTTTAGGAAAGGGTTTGCTCCCCACACTGGAGCTCTGGATGGCAGCCGTGAGTCAGTCAAGTGTCAAGTCGAGTCGGCGGAATAGCGTGAGCTCCAGCATGGGGAGCGAACCCTTTTCCTTTATCACGGATTATTATGGATTCACACTTCACAGTATACACGGCGGCAAATGATGCACACACGCACAATAATGACGATAGCTCACCGAAAATCGGATCGTGACAACGGGGCCAATCTGGGCTATGCTCATCGGAGTCTCCACCGGAGCGGTGCTTGTCAGCGTGATTGTAGAACCCTGGATAATGGTGCTGTGCATGAACAATGCACAAATATGCAGTCAAAACAAGAGTACGGTCAGACCTCGCTTATCCGGTCCTCTTTTATCCAAATCCCTCGCCACCAGGAAGAAAATAGCTGGTTGCAGATGTACAGCATACGTGATGATGCATCCAACAAAACCGGTGTTCGATTATCCGGTTCCCTGGCTTATCCGGATATTTTTTGTGGAAAACGGACGTGTGCGGTTAAGCGAGGTCTGACTGTACACTGAAGTGATTCCACGTCCAGCACATGCGCTCTCAGGCCGGCCTCATCACACCAGCAATAGGACTCCAAGTTGTATTTACTAGTAGGGGTGTCAACGAGTAGTAGGGTGACCGTTGATACACGTAATTTGATCGGGTATTCGGGTAGCAATTTGCTCCCGAGAACCCAATCGGGTAGTTGGAGTACGGCGTTTTTGGCAACGGTGCATGTAAGAAGCATGGCTACGTGCTTACGGTACACGTTCCATGTAGCGCAAGTGCACACACTCACAGTACAAGCTGTGTCAAAAAACACCCGATAGGGTACCCCCGTGCTACCCGGATAGAGATACCCGAACCCGTTACCCGACCAAACCTCTACCCGTTGCAGCCCTATTAGTTATTAGAATACTCCCTAACGCGCGCTCAGGCTTTCACAAAAAAACAGCAATCCGAGTCGTATTTAGCGCGTGCGACACTTTTGAGTACTAATTGTTTGACCCCGCCATTCAAAGCCACTGGCATGTACACTGGTACGCGCCTGATACGTGCTGGAAATTCCAACATGTTGGAATTTCCATTTCGGCGCGATTCAAAGTTCTGGACATTCCCGAGTGACGTGCAGTGCCTGGTCCCCGATCGTCCGGATAAGAGAGATAAGAGTGTGCAGCCGATAAGCCCATTGCGCATTGCCAAATATGGAAGGTACGAGTAATGCGTGTGAGTACGCTGGGATCAGGAATGCACTGTGTGCTGTTCAACACCCCAGACGACCATGCCCAGGTGGCTGTGTGGGGTGTTCATGGTACACATTACGTCATTGCGCAATGGGCATATAAGCAGAGGGAGTGGGGGGGGGGGGGGGGGGGGGGGGTTCTGTCGCGACCGCAAGCTTCATGTTTATTTGCCTTCACAAGACAACTCATTTGCTTATGAAACAAGTTCCATGTGCCCTGGTCAGGAGCTCAATGCATTGCGAAGTCCAAGCGATTTCTGGCTGCGAAATCCACACGAGCGGCACTGTCAACAGGCCCCCAGAATGCATACACTCTTTGTCACACACAACAAGTGTACATGTACTTGCACTAGCGAGTTCCCGACGGGGCATGTCATGAAACGGGCAGGGCACATCCCCCCCACCCCGGAAGTATAGTACCCATCATGTTACCATACGGGCAGGATACATTGCTGAGTAACTAACTGCCCATCTTGGGGTTCGAACCTAGCAATCTATATCCACACAAGCTCTACAAAAAAGATACTCTTAACTGTGAAAAATGTACTTTCTATCAAATACTTGATCACTGCCGTTGGTACGGTTGTCTTTCACGGTGTACTTGAATTTGGCGAGGAAAAAGCTCTCGTCATTGTCACTATTATTCAGGAGTTGAACTTGTCCGGGTAGCCTTTCCACTTGACCAGAGACTGTCCGTGGCGTTTGCGGAGGACTTTCTCCACGCGGAACTTGGTTTGCTTGGTTTTCTGCAGTTGATGTTCGTAGAAACTGCCCTGAATAGGCTCGTTCATGAGATCTCGAATGTTGTAGGTGGGTGGTTGGGTGGGTAGAACTCTATTCACGACGAACACCTCTTCAGTCCAATTGGGTGTGTAGCCCTTTTCGAAATGAGCTTTGCTCACAGCAATTCTCACTTCATCGTTCACAGCATAGCGTCGCCGCGCCGTGCGTGCATCTGGGCTTTTGCTGGGGTGGTGGTGACACCTACCGAAGCCGGCCTATGACTGTGCTGAACGTGAGCAACATTCCAGGTCTACTAACCGCCGCCTTCGACGGGATCACTGCAAAGGTGGACGCTTGGGTGCAAGGTGGTTCAGGCTGGGCTGTGAGTAATGTGAAAACTGCACATCTTGATATTTGCAAGTATCGTCCAATGCGCATGTCGTCGTACCTTCCTCTACCTAAAAAGTTAGCTTCGAAAAAGGCCATCATCAATGTGAAGAATGACGACGACGAGCAGTGTCTGAAGTGGGCTCTTCTGTCTGCCCTGCATCCAGCTGTGCAAAATGCACAGCGTGTGAGCAAGTATGCGCAGTATGCGCAGAGTCTCAACTTTGACGGTGTAGAGTTCCCTGCAACCATAGATGATGTGTACAGGGTGGAGAAGGCCAACTCGCTAAACATCAACGTGTTTGCATTTGAAGAAGACCACATCATTCCCATAAAGTTATCAGGTAGTGACAATGCAATAAATCTCCTGATCCTGCAAGATGATCTCCTTAGCCATTACTGTTGGATAAAGAACTTTAGCGCTCTATGTGCCAGCCAGACAAAGTCCCGTCACAAGAGGTACTTCTGCATGCGATGCCTCTCCGCACATCGCAGCGATACCACTCTGAAGAAGCATCAACTATACTGCAGCGGTGTGAATGCAGCGACATTCCAGATGCCAAAAAGCAGGCGAGCAGCTCAAGTTCACGGAGATACAGCGGAAGATGAAAATACCCTCTGTACAGCGAGAGTAACAAGAAGGTTGTAGGTAAATTTAAGGACGAGCTCGGAGGGAAGCTCATGACAGAGTTCGTGGCGCTCAGGTCCAAAATGTACGCGTACGATGGCGAGGAGACGCCATGACCATGCTGTGTGTGTGTGTGTATCTGCTGGACTGTGATGTACTATATGGCGGAAGAAGATGGCTGAAGCAAGAGACAGCGGGCTAGATTCGTCAAATGATGATGATGCCATCATCCCAGTTATCATCAGCAGCGATGAGGACGAGGAGCTGCAGGAGGAGCTGCAGGAGGAGCTGCAGGAGCAGCAGCAAGGGCCTGTAAATGACGGTCACCATGAACTGATTGGATATGACGAGGTGCTCGTCATAAGCAGGGAGCTTGTACAAGTAGGGTGGGTGAACGTTGTGACAATAACAACTAAAACTTTTAGGTACTCCAATGGCGAAGAGGTGACCAATGTACATGTATTCACGAACGTGGAGAATAATTTAATTTAAAATTAAATTAAGTTAATTAAGTGGCCACTTGAACTTTTAATTGGATAAGTGGTAATGAAGTGGCCACTTGAGATCTGAAGTGGTTTTGAAGTGGGCCAGGTGTCATATTTAATTGGATTAATGATTAAGTGGTGTTTGAAGTGCCTCTCGGCGTCATAATTGCTTTTAAAGTGGTGGGTGTGGTTGTTGATAAGAGTCACTGTCTGGGAATGTGTTCTGGAAACTTCTAGGTATTCCCAGGCTAATTAGAACTAGCTCTACGGATGTCATAGGGGGGTATTTTAGGAGGTGTGTGGTAAGCATGTGTTGTAGAGCACTGTGGTCTACATGTATATAAACACGTACGTGAACATCCTTTTTCATTTCCTAGAAAGCTTTGTAAGAGTTGCTCTCTGTCTTCTCGCTGTTAACACAACCTTTATCTCTTTTAAATCACTGTTAAAGAAAATAAACATTTGAGAAATCTTTCCTGTGAGGATGTACAACTCAGCCCTCGTTATTGCCAATGGCGTTGAGGCTGGTCTTCAGTCGAAGCATAAGACTCGCGGTAAATTCTACCCGCAGTTGAATCCTGGAACCTCTCACCACTACACCGAGGGGGCTGTAGCTGGCTTCAAGGTAATGGGGAAAGCTCGTAAATCTAAGTTCAGTCAAGTTGTAGTTGAGATCAGGAAAGATATCGCCGAAGTCATCACAGGTATTATGAAGACATCTCCATCAGCTAGAAGAGCAATGTCCTCGTCTAGGGTTCACCGAGTGTCTACAAACTTCTTCCCCAGCAAATCTGATAAGGATGTTGATGATGATGATGAGTGTGACGACGACGACGACGTGGAGGACAATGCAGAGCCTGGCTGTGATGGAACTGACACTGTCAACACTACTGAGATATATGTCAAGGGGACAAGCGCTGTACCCATCAAGGCATTCCGTCTGAACAAGAACGCCGAGTACGTAGTCTACCCTGCAACTGCATCTTGGCGTAAGGAGGACGGCCTGTACAAGTTCACCGTTGAACCGAGATGTTTCTTTGTAATACAAATATCGCATGCTATTGACAGGTTCTTTTTGCATCGATGTTTCTTTGTAATACAAATACTGCCGCTAAAAGTGCTTTCAACCCTATCAACTTACATGTCTGATCTATTGGTAAGAAATGCATTGTGTTTTTTCAGTTGTACCTCCACTACCTAGCATTACAATTGAAATTGAAATTTACGTTCCAGAACTTTCGACGGGTGCGATCTTCGAGATGTTTCTGTGACATACAATTACCGCCGCGAAAGGTGCTTTCAACCGTATCAACCTACATGTCTGATCAATTGGTGGGAAATGCGTACTAATGCAACTCCTCCACAGAGTGTCATACATACCCGGATTGTTCAAATGAAGCCTCACGCCGCAGGGCAACGGTGAGCATGTCCGTATTGTCACCCTGCAGGGATGACCTCTCCGGCGTGGACAGTTCGCTGCACACAAAACCCAAGCACACACACACACACGCGCGCACACCACACACACACACACACACACACGCACAGACGCAACAGACAGATATTCACCATGTGTTTCTCTTTTTGTATAATGTCTCGTGTCTGTATGTGATAGCACTATCCATTGAGTCGCTCATCAGTCGTATAGATTGCAATACAAGAGAGAGATTGGAAGCTGTGTCGCAACTCTGAGTTCCACGTATTACTACGATCATCAGGCAACTGATGGCTCCGAAACGGGCAGCCTGAACATAAGGGGGAGCAAGGTGAGAACTTCTGAGGGGAGTCATAGCGAACGAGTCAATATTGCAATACCCGCAGTATCTCATTTAACCAGTATGCTCAAAGCCCTGTGCTGTGAAACGCGATTGTCCGCTTGGCCTTGCGGTTCCAGGATTTCGGCACCAGGTTTTCTTCTTTCTTCATTGCCTCCCGTGTGTGTTGTACGAAACTTTTCTCTTAGCTTTTAACAGTATAATTAGTAAATTAACGTCTTGCTGAATGGTGGGTGTTTTGTGAGTGATTGCCTCCGGGGCCAGCTGCTACACTTCGACGTAATAAAGCAGAGATTTGCCATGATCCTTGGGGGTGGTGGTGTTGCTACACATGCGGAAAACTCGGCCTTCAGACGAGTCTGACGCGAACTGTGACTTTGTCTTCTGCCATGCGGCTCATTACTCTCATCACCCGCGGAGACACTCTCTGGCTGGCTGCCCCGTCTTTCCTTGGCATTGGACGCCATAAGCCCATTTTGCACGCTGGGATCAGGGATGCATTGTTCAACACCTCAGACGACCATGCCCCAGGTGTGGCTGTGTGGGGTGTTATGTGAGTATGCTGGGATCAGGGATGCACTGTTCAACACCCCCAGACGACCATGCCCCAGGTGTGGCTGTGTGGGGTGTTATGTGAGTACGCTGGGATCAGGGATGCACTGTTCAACACCCCAGACGACCATGCCCCAGGTGTGGCTGTGTGGGGTGTTATGTGAGTACGCTGGGATCAGGAATGCACTGTTCAACACCCCAGACGATCATGCCCCAGGTGGCTGTGTGGGGTGTTATGTGAGTACACTGGGATCAGCAATGCACTGTTCAACACCCCACACGACCATGCCCCAGGTGTGGCTGTGTGGGGTGTTATGTGAGTACGCTGGGATCAGGGATGCACTGTTCAACACCCCACACGACCATGCCCCAGGTGGCCGTGTGTGGAGTGTTTATGGTACAGATAACGTCATTGCGCAATGGGCTCATTGAGCACAGGGTGAACCTTTTTGAGCACAGTCTGTTGAGGCTTACTTGGGAAGTACGATGATGGGAAAGGAGAGGCTTTGCAGACTTGAGTCAATGTTTCTGCTTGAGAGCGATACAGTAAAACCGACTGTGGCCTAATGCGAGATGATGTGTACACGGCAGAATATCAACCAGACGCATGCAAACCCATATGCACATACACAGGCACATATGCATGCACACACACGCGTGCACACACACACACATACACACACGCACACACACACATGCGCACACACGCACACACACACATGCGCGCGCACACACACACACACAAACATATTTTTATACGTGCTCATCACATGATCATGCTCATGCTGCGGTTAGTTCTGATAAAAATGGGATAGATACATTGTACTTTGTATTGTACCGTCAAACCTCTTTAGGACGAACACCAAGGGACTGGTGCGTATTTGTTCGTAATAACGGGAGTTCTTCTTATCCGTATGTTATACCCAGTGAATACACAGTGATTTAACCAACATAGCTATGAACACTAGTTCTTCTAAAACGAAAGTTTGTCTTATCAGTGTTCTTCTTTTAAAATTAAAAGGCGAGACCAAAATAAAATCGAGATTCCCGGGCAGGACCCATGTCCCATGTGAAATTGGTGCGGGCGGGCGAATTTTATTTTTTTTATTTTTTTCCATGTATGTACATGACTATAATGTGTGCATGCCATGTTGAACTTTTTTTCCAGCATTTTCCGGTAATTTTGATTCATTCTTTGCAGACAACAGGTACGCGGTTTACCCGTTCAATTTTTCTATATTTCGGTCAACGATGGCCCTGATCTGTACATCAGGGAGCCGTACAAGCTCGGGTTTGTGTGACTCCACGTCACAGATCTACTCACACGATCAGTACTGTACATGTACATGTATGAACTGTTAAAAAAAAAAATTGGCTTTGGCTCGATTTTGGTGCGGGAGGGCCCGGGAATCTCTATTTTTTTTGGTCTCGCCTAACGCGGTTTCACTGTATAGTATTTCATGATTTTACTTGAGCATTCCCAACAGCTAACGCCGTTGTCTGCTATCTTACATTTGTTGCTTTCCGTCTCTGCCCACGCTGTCTGTCTTCTGGCACATGCGAATACGTGGACTTACCCTTGACGTAAACGCGGACGTGCGTAGAATGATAATAATGATAATTCCCAACAGACCCCCTAAAGTCTTCTTACCGGGTGCCCGAGATGAATGGATGTGTTAAGTTCCCACATACCGCAGTGTCTTGTCTCTTAATTACAGAAGCCTGTTTTGAATACAAGCCTGATTTCCAAGACACACTGTTGGCACATAAGCCTGGTTCTAGTGTTGACATACATAGAAATACCTGGTTTAAATAGAAGCCTGATGTAAATAGAAGCCTAGCCCTGACATCCGCTTCTACAGGAATAAGCCCGGCTAATAAATAATAAAAAAGCTTACGTGGGGATAGAAAAAAGGAGCCATCCGAAAATATAGATATTTATTCCCGTAGCTATGCAGAAGACGTTACTTCAGTAACGTCTGGCGCTAGCCAGGGTCCACACAGCTTTAATTTGGTATTTGTGTGTTTGTTTGTTTGCCTGGCGCTATCCTGTATCTGACGGCAAAAAAATCATAGGGAGGTTATAAATTTTTCAATTCTCCTATTTTTTTTTCAGGCATATCCTGGGATTCGAACCCGCACTATCGCCCTACATGCATTCCCCCATACACTTCGCATTCATACCCATTCTTCCAAGTTGCTTCACGTTATGATCTTGCGTTTGAAAGCCCTATTTGAATATTGCGGGCAGCTGTATGTGGCCAGCTGTGTTTGATGGTACGGTACGGAAGACGGTGTCGTATTACCCTCGATCGTACCTGTCCCGTACCTATCCCTACCGTACCGTACCATCAAAGACGGCTGGCCACAATGCATATTCAAATAGGGCTTTCAAATGCAAGATCATAATGTGAAGCAACTTGGAAGAATTAGTATGTATGCGAAGTGTATCGGGGGATGCATGCAGGGCGCGATAGTGCGGGTTCGAATCCCAGGTTGTCTTAAAAAAAAGGAATTTTTTAAAGAATTTATAACATCCCTATGCTTTTTTTTTTCTAGGTCTCTCGTTTAGAAACGAAAACTAGTCGTTTAGGGGGGGAGGGGGTTGAGCGCCTGTTCGTTTCTCGAAAAATATCGATGCACAGTTTGTATGTGTGGGCACGTCCAGAAAAGAAAAGAAAAAATATCGATACTATGCATCGTTTGTATGTGTTTGTTTCTGAGGGAGGGGGGTTGAAGAGAAACGACTAGTTTTCGTTTCTAAATAAATATCGGTATTTACGATCGCCCCTAAGTAATTCTACATGAAAACTAGATTTGCTAATGGTGTTTGTACTGAGTGTGCAGCTTACTCTATTTACTGCGCTAAGGGGCCGTCCAAGGTTACCAATAGTATTTTCAAAACGAAAAGTTTTCGTTTGGGGGTGGGTAGGTTTGAAGGAGTTTCGTTTTGAAAATAATTATTGAATGCAGATGGAGAATGCCCAGTTACTTCTGGGTATCGAAAATTGACATCAATATTTTATTGGAATTCGTTTTACCTGCAGAAAAGGTAGGTGGGTGAGTGGGTGCTGAAAAATACTAAAACTTTTCGTTTTGCAAAAACTATCGGTAACCCCGGACGGCCCCTAATACCGGTAAAATACTCGACATTAGGCTATTTCCATCCCAGCCCCGGAAGTTAGTGGTGTTGCGCAGTCCAGCTAAGCCACAGTCGTCAGGCTCAGCAAACAGGCAGCAAGTGGAGTGTACATGTTCAGTTAGACCTCGCTTAACCGCACACATCCGTTTTCCACAATAAATATCCGGGTAGGCGAGGGAACCGGATAATCGAACACAAATACTGTATGCATGCATGACATAATGCTGTAAATCGGTAACCAACGATTTTCTTCCGCATGGCGAGGGATCCGGATAAAAGAGGACTGGATAAGCGAGGTCTCACTGTACTACCATAGGCACCCCAGCATGCTGTCCAGCAAGTACCGTGATGAAGTGAGAGGTCACGACTTACGTTCACGTCCCTCTCGAATGGATTGGCGAGTATACACCTCACCAAGCTACCTGTGCCCAAAGTGGATGCTGTGCACGTCTGCAGAAACAAACACACACACAAACACACACACACACACACACACAGAAGAAGAATGAACGTACACACACACACATGCCAAAGTGGGATACTCCCCCTCCCCCCCCCCCCCCCCCCCCACACACACACATACACACAGCACACGGCACACACATGTGAAAGAAAGGGAAAAACGTAACTCACCGATCCGGCATCTGAACTAGCCAAGACGACACCTGGTGGCAGTGTGACATTGACAGTCGGTGTGGTGGCTGGGTCGGCACGGTTACCCACGGATACGCTGAAGTGCAGAGTGTTGTCACGGCCCACGATGATGTGGTCTGTGCTCTCGCCACTGGGTTAGAGAACCGATGAGAGCAAGTGAACACACACGTGTGGAGATACACACACACACACCCACGCACGCACGCACACACACACACACACACACACACACACACACACACACACACACACACACACGACAAGATGACAAGAAACGACAAGAAACGAAGACAGCACAGAATTATCGAAAAGCGCCAACACACGTCCACAACCCACAACTCACAGTCCTTTCTTTCGTTTCTAAGGAACCATTTCTACTTGTATCTCCAGGCAGTTCATCAGTGTACGTGTCAAAAACGGATAGTGACGGCCACGCAAAACTCAACAGCACATTGTAGCGAGACATTGTTACTCTTGTCCTTGTTAGCCGTGGTTGGCTATAAAAACCCTGCAATCGCCACGCAAAGTGGTCACTAGCTACCCCAGCCATGTATTGCTTGGAATAAAAAAAAAAGTAAAATAAAATAAAAGTGTCCTTTAGCACAACGACGATTCCTGATGAATGTTGTACGAAAACTTGTTTGAATCCTTATTTTCTCTACATTATTTCTTCATATTTTCATCGTTTTATTGCACATTGTCTCCACCGTTTTACATTGCATGAATAAAGCGTACACAAATGTCGATTCAGCTTGTATTACTGATTGCGGTTATAAAATTGAAATAAAAATAAATTTTCAGTGACGGCCAAAGGTGCGAGAGGCGAAGACAGTCGCACGTCAAACAGCGCCACAGTACTGCCGGGCGCCGAAGAACGGAGCGCCGAAAAGCGACCAGGCTAGGATTCCACCAAGCACAGCATACCAACCAGGGGTGTCGCACACGGTACGGTCACTACGGTATGCACCGTACCACTCTGTGCCCAAGTACCCGTTGAATCAATAAAATGCACTGATTCGGACTCTGAATTTCCAAAACATTTCGGCTCAGCCACCCTTCCCTCACGAGTAAATTGTACTTCAGATGGCTGACCGTACCACACTAAAATACCTTCCAACGCCCCTGCCAATGTATACACGGTGACTCAACTGTACATAGACTGTAGTACAGTCAGTCCTCGTTTATCCGGATCCCTCGCCATCCGGAAGAAAATCGCTGGTTACCGATGTGCAGCATATGTTATGCATACAACATAACCGGACCTCGCGATCCGCATACCGGTGCATGATTTTGTGTACAAACTGGTTAAAATGTGTACAAAAAGCTTCGTCGTATCCGGTTGCATGTGGCTTGCAGAAGCTAGAATCAGGGAGTTGTACAAGCAAATGAGGTCCTTGACCTGCTGGGTGCATGCGGACAGCACTCAGTTGCATGCACTTGTCATTTTTCTCGCTTGTTTTACATACTGTGCACGCTAGTTGTACTGCATAGGACCCGTCTAGTCCACATTTACATGTATGTACGATGTCACTGCTTTTGACATGCCACATGCATACACAGTATGTGTGTTCAGTTATCCGGTTCCCTCGCCTATCCGGATATGTTTGTGGAAAACAGATGTGTGCGGTTAAGGGAGGTCTGAGTGTACAGTGAAAACCTCGATAAAAAGAACCCTGAGAAAACAAACTTTCGTTTTCTTGAAGACCTAGTGCTCACGACTCTATCGGATAAATCACTGTGCCATGTGTATTATTATATTCCTCGTGCCTAGGCTCATGGTGGAATCAAGGTAGTTTCCCCTGAAATAACAGAATGGAGAGGGTGTGTACACGTACTCAGCATTTCTCGTTTCTATTTCTCTAACTCTTTTACCGACAGGTGCGCTAGCCCCATGGGTGATCTCGCCCATGATGAGGTACATGCGAGCTGTTGGTATAGAATACGGATCCGAAGAAC